AAATCGTAGAAAAATGTGTATTTAAAATAGTAACACCTTTGCATAAAAATTGCTGAAGATTTGCTACTAAAACTGAAACAAAGTTAATGTATTTTAAATCGAAATTAAGTTTCTCCTGAAATTGTAATGTATTTGCATCTAAAAATGTTAAAGGTCTGCATATAAATTTCTAAAATATTTTGCATCCATGTTTATAATACATTTGCATTTTAAATTGCGTCACACTTACAATCATAATATATTTTCACCTGTAATTGTAAAGTTTTTGCATCTTAGATTTTATTTATTTGCATCTAAAATGTAATGTATTTGCATCTAAAATTATAATGTGCATTTGCATCAAAAATAATAATGCATTTGCATATAAAACTGGAATGTATTTGCATGTAAAATTGCCATGTATTTCAATCTAAAATAATATTCATTGTAATCTATTTGTATCTAAAATTGTAATGTTTTTGTCTCTAAAGTTAATTATTTGCATATAAAATTATAATTCTTTTGCATCTAAAATTGTAATGTATTTGCATCTAAAATTATAATTTATTTGCATATAGGATTATAATGTATTATAGAAACTTGATACTTTAAAATATAATGTCTGTTTATCAACATGCAATACATCTGAATTCAGAGAGCTAGTTACAAAAGTATGTTTCATCTTTGATATTTTCATATGTATTGCTGTTTTCTTTATAAAATATTAGTACTCTTCAAAAGCAAAGAAAATTAATGATAATTGTCATTATTCGTGGGATATGTGCCTAAATTTATATACCTCTAGTTAACAATTGCTGTGAATGTTATGTTTCCCAATATATACAATATAATTATACAATATAACAAAATATTAAAGATAAAAAACACGTCCTGTTAGTGGCGTATGTATTTTTGCTAACACACTCAATGCCATTTATGTTTATGCACTACCTCAACTATATAGGATAATATATTTATATACCATCCAACAATACATTTTTATAATACATGTATAGTTATAATAATAATAATACTCCTAAAATAATACAAGCATAAATGCAGCTGTTGTAGTTATTCTGCATATTAACTCTTTCACCGTACAAATACAAAACCGTTAAGGATAATTTGTCAACTTGTAAGGAACGGTATGTTACATGTAACAAATTTAATTTTGCAACTGACATTTATAAATTACTGAATTGATTGTTCGTTTTCGTTTGCTCATAAACTGTTCACAGAAGTGTTCTGATGTTGAAATACAATGAATGAAGTAAAGATTAAAGGATCATTTAAAAAAAAACAAATTGTCGAGAATCGTGCAATCAACATGAAGTGGTTGAAATTGTATCGATTCATTTAAATACCTTTATGCGTTTGACTTACAAAGCAGAAGCAGAGCAACACGACCTTATCCGTGCAATCATCGGCAGATGTTGCTATGAATTTGCTTTTTACACAAATGTATAACGATAACAGGACTTTTCCATGCAACAGTGAACACATTTTACAATAAAATTGTTTTCTAAGCATAACTTGTCAACGCAATGGTGAATAATTTTTACAATGAGATTATTTAAACTAGCAATGATTTACAAAATTGTATCACGAGGTCATATTAAGCCTTGTCCGTGTACATAAATCATGAAATAAATACAACTTAAATGAATAATGTAAATACATTTTTATTACTCAGTCATAAATCCATAGCAGCATAATTATGTTTGCAAAATGATACCATGTCATTATTTCGTTTCCGTTTGTAAAAAAAGATTTAAAGATAATATTTGTGAAAATTTATGAACGCCGAAGAATACAGTCATTTATTAATGTATTTTTGCACGGGGGACTAAATCAAAATAACAGATTTGTTTTTACATCTACGTTTAAACTAGGTCATGGCAAAGATAAAAATCATTTTAAGGATTGTAATAAAAATATCTTTTACGCAGAAAAAAAATAGCATAAACAAACCAATAAAAAGAGCTTTTAAAACATCGGAATTAAAATAAAAGATAGCAAAGCTTGGTTAGAAATTGTAGTATCTTAGTTTATGACAATAGACGGCGGTCTGTATTAATTAATTATGCAAACAATTGTCTCATTCACATAGCAATTAGGCAAAACAAAAAATATTAAAATTTGATTTCAGAGTGTCTAACAAACGGGTTTCTGCATATTTACACACTTTTGTATTCTATAAGTTTTTGATTGTTTGTTGTTGTTGTTGTTGTTGTTGTTGTTTTTAAACATCTATAATTTTCCACAAAGAATTCAAATTCAATCTTCAAACTACCATATAAGACAATTATAAATTTTACTTACGAATCTTTACAAAATATAGATTAAAAAAAACAACTGCAATTTTTTAATAAAACTAAGAAAATTTAAATAAACATAAGAATAAATATAATTACGTAATCAACTTAGTTCAATTGTTGTCTTCTGAATCAGATATTCCTATTTTCATTCGACTTAAAGAAAAGATAGTAGGAAGATACTGTATTATTCGTCTTTGATCAAAATACTTTTGAGCGGTGCTGGACTGCTGCTTTAATATACCGATTTATGGACTTAATTCACAATTCGATTATATCACAAAAACAGCAAGAGCTATACTATTCGCTTTTGAACATTACTTGGTTCCGCTGTTCTTATGGGATTATTGTATTTCTGTATTTGTATCAAGAACGAATGTCTTCAAATATTTTCACCATTTGCAATGTATTGTCATTATCGGGAAAAGAAGAAATATAGATTTAACAGAAGAATAAAGAAAAGAAAAGGAATTCAAAGAAACTCATTTTTTCGTAAAGGTGATCAGGTTACTTATTGTGAAACTTATGGACATTTTTACCCCGTATGATATCGCTATGATAAAATGTTTTGAAATAACTTTTAAATTTTGAAGAACAAAATGTGTCACTTAATAGATTACATTAATCTTAAAGTGATTTCTTTTGAAACTGGAGGTGGGGGGTCCTTGGCATATGTCAAACTCATCTCTTAAGAGATCATATTTCTTATGTTATGTGTGTACATATGTGCAAGTAGAGAAATATTGAAAGAAATCTTCGACCTACTTGCCATAATGGCTTGTGATAAATCATCATGATATATCATATAATTATATTGTTTGCGGCCGTAAAAATCTTTCTACATCCCATCCATACCTTTGTGTTTCATATTTAAGGATCTTCCCTTGAGTGCATAGTCTTGCTTTTGTCTTGTTTAAGCATGACCTGAATCGCACTAACAATTTCTTTTAATGTTAAAGTATGTTCTGGTGACGTGAGTTTTATAACTTGAGCAGTTTACCATCACAAAACAATTACTCTTCAAAAGCCACATAACGCATCAAGTAAAATATTTACAAATCTTAGTAATCTTAAAAACTGTAAACTAATACATGTATGTCAATATAAAACTCAATTTGAAACCAAAGAAGTCGCCAAGTACAACAATCATTCAATGTATACTTTGCATAAGAAAATAGTAATAAAATTAAAACAACTTCTAATAATAAAATAAAACAAACTTCGCGATTTTCTAACGATGCAAAGATCAATTCGTCAGGTGTAAGTCAAATTTGCGCAAGTCTTCTGTCCAGCGTAAATCATATTTACGCAGTGTAAGTCATATTTGCTCAATGCTTCTGTCCTGGCAGTGTAAGTCATATTTTCGCAATGCTTCTGTCCAGCATAAGTCATATTAGCACAATGCCTCTGTCCAGCGTAGGAGATAATTGCGCAAGGATTTTTGTCCAGTGTCATTTTTGCGCACGGCGTCTGTCCAGCGTAAATCATATTGCGCAATGCTTCTGTCCAGTGTAAGTCATATTTGCGCAATGCTTCTGTCCAGTGTAAGTCATATTTCACAAGGCTTCTGACCGAGGCTCATTTATAGAGTAACAAAGGTCAATACATCGTCAATATCATTAACTAATTACAAGTACATTTGTATGGACTCTTTTCTATTACAAATCACAGTCCGTCGGCGCTGAAATAAATAAACCATGTTGGTTTGTCATAATTTAATTGTATTGGCTTGCAATCATTAATCATGGTGGCTTATTAAAAGTAGATCGGTTTGGCATAAATGATCGGCATAATACATCAATTAATAAGCCTTATATTGCACAGTTGAATAACGATAATAACTATAGCGTTTGTTAATATGGTCATAAAATATATATTTAAATAGACATTTCCGAAGCAAGACACTATGTTGCTTTGCAAAACGTTTGTACAAACAATCAAAAAGAAATCTCTGTCCGGAACCTTGTCAAAAAAGAATACGAATGGTGCATGCAAAACAAATGCATGTTAAGTTTATGTAAATAATTCGTTAAGTAAGCTTACTTAACGTTAAACACAATGGCTTTACATCTAAGAGAAAACAACAAATCTTTTGTGATTAATGTACTTCTGCATTAAATGTGAATGTTTTGAATATTAATTTAAACGATAAATCAAAGAACAAAAAAAAATCAACCGCGATAATGTTTATTTTTTTATACAGTAACAAAATACTAGTTAAAACGCGTATCGTAACTAGGACACAGTTTGATGTTAAGATAACATGTTATTAAAACAAGTAAAAGGCTTGCCGTTTGCACTATAAGCCATGGGTTAAATCATCGTAAACTTTTTTTATGCGTGTAAAACCACGCGATGCATCGCATCTCATTTTCTATGTCAATATATTCACTGAATTTGAAACTATGATAACGCGTTTATTTTTATACTTAATTCAGAACAATATTGGTATTTAACACAAAAAATGCATAATATCTGTATAACAAAATTCATAAACACTTAAAACAATGCAAACTGCTCGAACAGTTAAAATTCAATGCGCTTTTGGGGTTAATTGAATTTTCTTAATCCGCCATCTTGGATTTTTTGCATCTCGGTCGAAACGTCGATTGATAAAATGAAAAAAATACAGTTTGTTACACTAGTTATTATCATATATGTAAACGTTTAAGTCAATATTGGATAAAAGACAATAGTTGTACTTACCAAGAACGACACACAAAAATGTGAAATATATAACGATATTTCCTCTAAACTCCACGCACATTTTGACGATGAGAAAAAAAAACACAACTAGGCTAAGACACCATATTTATTATTAGCATTCAAAATGCACACAGTTTTCTGTAAAGTATAACTCCAGCACATAATGTGCACACTAATAACACATTACGTAACACTGCATTCTTCATCCGAGGAATTAAATAAAGACATTGAAGGTCACAAGTTAGCCCGATTTTAACAGGGGTTCACCTATATACTAGAAAAGCTAATATCCTTGGGAATCAGAGCATGATACATGCACATTTTGAAACGCAGCCGCATTGCATTATGTGCAATATTATGCAAATTATATGAAAGAAAGGGGGACAATTCATTTTAAAATATATATCCAGACAGCGCAAAGTTACGGCACACATTAGCAAAGCAGTCAGAGCGTATCAGGTGAGAAACATTTATCGTCTGCTCTCTTTCTACACTGTCTTATGAAGTCAATTTCTACTAAATATGTACTGAAAAAACCAATGCAAGTACTTGTATTATATTGATTATTAATTTTGGAATAAAAGACAGATTGAAACACCTTGTTAAACTTTATCAGAATGTTTAATTTGAATATATCTTTAAATGTACATGTATATGTATATAACGATTTAAAAAGTTTTAATAACTGATGTTTTTTCTATTATTTTTAATGTCATCATTAACATACTTAAATGTCGAATTCTCTTTAGGCGGTGATTGGGGGCGTAGACGATAGCTTGCAATTACCTCTATTCTCCGCGTAATGATAATTTAAGAAAAAAGGAAAAGGCTGATCCTTTGGAAGCAGTGAAACAACACTACTATATGGAAATTGTAGACTGTTTGATGAAAATTCTAATATAAACGCGCAACATATCACACACACCCTAGCACCGGCTTAAGATGTATTCATTCTACAACACTAAAGTACATAAAGTCAAAAAATTTAATATTTTTATTTCTATCGTTCAATTCATACAATTGTTGTTGAGAAAATTTCATACTTAACTATAATCCTTCGTTAGTGTAGAAGCTTGAGGGCTGTTAAAGCCGGTGCTATGGGGACATGAGGTGTTGAAAGTTCCATTTCCAAAACTCAATTAAACTCCATCTGCAATTTTCGTAGCTCTGTTTTTGTTTTTTTTTCTTTTTTACTGGTTTCACCAAAGGGATCTCCTATTTTCAAAAATTTGTTACTTGTATATATTTCATTTGACATCTTCAAAACTTATGTTTTAATTGTGTGAAAACAATAAAATTTGTCTCTAACGTTAGTCAATCACTGCTCTGATTTACCGTCTACGTATTTCAAAATAATAAAAAAAATATGCATAATTTTCTTGTTTATTTATTTTTTTTAGATGACAATGAGTATTTTATCAATACTGAAAAAAACATTACTTATATTAAAAGTTTAAAAGATTATACTGCAAATACTTTGCGCAATCCATATAACGCTGTACGTGTTCAATGGATACAAAAAAGGGCTTGACTTTAACATATAACTTCCCCGTCACGATAAGAATTTCTTCACTTATTTTGTTACATTTTAGATATATTGTTAGTGATTAAGGCGAGATAAAATCATAGATATATTTGTTCACTTGACATAGTTTTAGTTCTTGACAAACTGCCCTTATTTTCATTAAAAAATGAACATACTACTTCACACATTATCGTGTTGTTTTGTTTTTTTGTTTGTAAATGATATATCTGTACATAGTTCCCTAACAAATTACACTTGTGTGGTTTTTGAACAAATGCATATAAAACGTGATGAATTATGTTATTCGAGTTAATTCCATTTTCAATAAAACAAAAATCAACAACAACAAACACACACAGAGAAAATTTCTGTCTATATCATATCTGGCGCTATATTTCTTACAGTTGGAGACGACATTTTTTAATTACACATTGTCCCTTAAGTGAAATACTGCTTAAGCCGGTGCTCAGGAGCATTTCATTTATTCATTTATTTTATTTATTTATTTATTTATTTGTTTATTTACGAAAATGGAAAACGTATCGTATCCCATAAAACATTACATTTTATATGCTTTGTTCGTTTAAATACATGAAAATGGTGAAATTTGGAAGGTCTTCTTCCACAACTAAAGCTGGAAAGTCGCCACACGACCTTTACATTGTTAGTGCGACGTACACACCAACTAAATAACTTAGGAATTTAGAAACATTCGCACTTGTGAAGGCATTTAGAATTCATTTGGTACATAGCACGATATTGTTAAGTTTATTTATAATTGATATATTGCATATTTTGAAAAGTGATATTCATGCGTTTGGAGTTAATTTGTTTCAACAATTCAACACTGCGTTTAAGTCAATAAGTAAATAATTAATATAGAATGCTAAATAATGTGTACATGATGTTGTATAATGAAATTTATATTATATTTATAATTACCTTTGTTATATGTTTGCTTTTCGTTTTGCATCTATGGAATGCCTCGTTTAAGTCAATAATGCAATATTTAAAATAGTACAACAAATAAAGTTTAACTTTTTATTCAATTTTAAAAATATAAATTGCGTATCTGCACAAACATTTTGCAATTGTAAAATACTACGTTGTCGTCAGTCAATAAATGTTTATTCATAGTAAATAGCTACTTTGTATTTGATATGCTCTGAAGGAAATCTACGTATATGAAATTCAATTTTCACTTGTTTCCCCCATATCCCTCAAAATATGGCGTGGGTAATTTCTTCCGCTATCCTTCGCAATTCCAAAAGGAGTTAAACCATGGTTACGCATGACTTGCTGGTTATGCTAAAGAAATACTAGTAAATACATGTAGACAGGACTGATTTTGAGAATTTGGCTCTCTATAAGATGCTAGAGGCATTTTGTAGTACAAGTGGTATCTTGGTGTATTTTACCTATTTAAGGTATGCTGAATCCGATAAAGGTGGATACCAAATCTTGACCATTGAAATGGCCATTTAAAATGATCACTAAAATGACCTAAAATTTCTTTATCATAAATGGATGATATATCAAATAAAATTTTTAAGGAAAGGAAAAGCCTGAAATTTGTCAGAAAGCATGTGTGGGTAAAAACAAATTCGACACCAAAACAGAATTAAAAAAACAACAATCCAATATGGCCGAAAAATCCAAGATGGCGGGCATTTTTCTATAGGCCAATATAATAGTAATATAGAAGTAATATTAAAGATAGTACTGTAAATTTTAAGGCATTTAAACATAAGAGACTAGAATGTAAGAGATAAAATTTCTAGAAAGTCCCTACTCCTTTGAACCATCACTATATTTAGGGTTTACGCAGCGAACACTACACTCTTCCCTGCACTTTTTGCTAGATTGCAAGCATATAGAGTGGCTACTCAGATTCCTACTTATATTTGCACAGCTTGCGTATGTGAGGGGGTTAAAACGTGTGCATGTAAAATATACATTAATTAAAGGCACCTTTCTCTGAGTACTCTTGGGTTTTGGTGTTCGTTGTTCTGTTATCGGTCGTCGTCTTTGTTCTTTTGTTATCGGTTCTCGTCGCATTTCTCTGTTGTCAGTTCTTCTGTTATTGGTCGTGACTTTCGTTCTACTGTTAGTTCTCGTCGCATTTCTCTTGTTCTTCTGTTATTGGTCGTGATATTTGTTCTTCTGTTATCGGTCCTGGTCTCAGTTATTTTGTTGTCAGATGTTCTGTTATCGTTCCTTTCTCTGCTTTTCTGTTATCGGTTGTCGTCTTCGTTCTTCTCTCATCGGTTCTCGTCTGTATTTTTTCTGTAATCAGTCTTGGTCACCGTTTTCTTGTTAATTCGTTTGTCATCGCTTGTCAGTCCTCCTGTAATCGGTCGCTGTCTCTGTTCTTCTGTTATCGGTCCTCGTCTCTGTTCGCTTGTTGTTAGTTCTTCTGTTATTGGTCCCTGTCAGTGTTCTTCTGTTATCAGTTGACGTTTCTGTTCGTTTGTTGGCAGTTCTTCTGTCATCGGTTCTCGTCTCTATTTTTCTGTAATCAGTCTTGGTGTTTCTGTGATCGGTCCTAGTCTCTATTTTTCTGTTATTAATCCTTGTCTCCGTTGTTTTTGTTGTCAGTTGTTCTGTTATCGGTCCCTGTCTCTGTACTTCTGTTATCGGTCCTCGTCTCTGTTCGCTTGTCGTCAGTTCTTGTCTCCGTTCTTCCTTCTGTTATCGGTCGTCGTCTTCGGTCTTGTACTTTCGGTACTTGTTTCCTGTTCCGTTAAGGTCTTCTCTTGTATCTATCGTTGCCGTCATGTTGTGTCGATGTCCTGGTTTTGTCAGTCTTGTAGTCATTTTATTCGTTCAGTAGAGTAGCGGGGGATCGAACTCACGACCCCTTGATTTGTAGGCGGACAGTGTTACCACTGCACCATAGCGCCCGCTCTGAATAATAACCATTTTTGAAAGTCCTTTATACATTAAATACTATTTCAATGGCTAACAAAGGGTGTATTACAATTATATTTTAACACCTCTACTATGTAGCCAACCCACGTGACTTTTATATATGGTCAAAGAAAATATTACTCGATTTAAGTAATATTTTTATAGATAACATTGCTGTTACTTTAAGATATCCTGGTAATTTGGAGGGTACCCGGAATTGTAATGTCTATCAAATGATGTAATAATCTTCTTGTAGAATTTTCCCAAAACCGAGACTGAATTCCAAAATTTTCGAGAGCTGCCATGGTGTAGCAAGCACACGTAGCAATCTCCAGGTTTCAGACATTTAATGACTCGATGAAAATATGGTGTTGTTATTGTTGTTGTTGTTGTTTTCAACTTTAACTTTAAATTTCAAATTAAATCGTCACTTATTTCTAAACAAGTAAACATTTGAATGCAGTTATAATTGAATCTAAAAAAATGAATTATGCAGATATTATTTTCGGCAGAAAACAACAAATACAAACAAAACAACACACAAAAAGCTTACATGCAGCATACATGTGTAATGTTCACAATGTGCTGAAAACGGCTCTTTATTAATTTCAACATTTCAGCAAGTGACACATTTTATAAAAGAATGGGACAGAAACGTTGTTGTAACCATTTAAAAAGTAGGATTGTAAATTTGTAAGTTGGATATTTTTACCTAGTTTGCTCAACACTCAATTAACACAATTTTATATATAAACCTGTGGTACAGAATGGACAGAAAACAACTTTCATAGATTGAGATAGAGCAATAATGTCGTAGATATTTGGGTTACACAAAATTTTTGATCCTGATAATGTTTTAAGAAGGATAAACATATTACAAGCTTATATTCTTAAAATTTTGTACTTCTTTATTTCATTTTTTTAAAAAACGTGCAATTATGTAATTATTATGTCTTTAGTTAGTTTCTATAAAGGTGGCATCTTTTATTTTATAGATAAATTTATTATGTGTCACATGTCGCCTTTAAAAAGATTTTGTGGTGATTTTGCACATACTTAATCCCGCTTTTGCATGTTGGAACAACAATATTTTATTTGTTTGTATACGCAGCCTAATTGCTTATTTTGTATAGTCTTATTTTATTTACCTGTCAATTATGAATACAATACAGCATTCATTGAAATATTACATTCCACTTCGATTTCGTTAGAATTAATATGGAGAATATTTGTTTGTTTGTGTGTAAGATGAAATTTTATTTCATCGAGTGGGCTTTAAAAACAGTATTCCCACGAGTGACGTAGCCACGAGTGAGAATACTGTTTTTGAAGTTCACGAGATGAAATAAAATTACATCTGACGCAACAAACAAATCATTTTTCTTTTTATTTTATGCTTAAAAATAAGTTAAAACGAAATTTCCTTGATATTAACTTTAATATTAAAATCTGCTTGCCCCACTGGTAGCCTCTATTATGTACATGTAGTCGAATTTCTCATAAAATACAAGAAGTTTTGGGCTGAAAATAAGTCCGAGAATCAACGTTAAATGGCGATGATATTATTCATTTTATTAAAAAATATGAATGATCGCTTATTTTAATAATAGAAACAAGCCATTTTTGTAGGAGAAAATGTCCAACCATCCATCCATATTTCTGTTACTTACTACTTCGAATGTACAGTATATTAGACATGGCTCTGTTAAATGTAAGCGGCGGCCATTTTTAAAAGTTGTGTATTTCAAGGAAGGAAAATAATTATGTTTGATTCAGAGGGATATCATTTGGATTTGTTAGTCATACACCTTTTTAAAAGAAAGAAAACTTATTTGAGGATTGTAACAGACAATAAATAAGTGTTGACATAAGTGGCTAGGAAATAGGAAACTTGGAATTGTTGAAAGGCTGCCTTACGAACGTTGGGTTGTTTACTTATTCTTTGGGCTGATGGCTGTCATTGCTTTTCAAGTTTTCATAAAGCATACAGCAGTTATTGCTCGTAGGAAATATGCCCAAATGTCATCAAGAGCAGTTTTGCATGTGGAAGGAATGTATTTTTCAGACTGTAAAATGAAACAAAAAAATTAAGAGACGATATTAATTTTGCTGATTGGTAATTTGGATGAATAGAAGTAAGTTTTCTTCTTTTTATTACTTTTAACATTAAAGTTATTTATCAATTTCAGCTTTGCTTTTCTCTAAACAGCCTGACATTGTCAGAATTGTCAGCAAAAATAAAATTTAGGTACCACATGGGGAAAATCTTAAGAAAGTAGTTTCGTCATTGGAAAGTGTGAAATTATATTTTGATAATTTTCACTGTGAAATTATCAAATATAATTTTCACGGATAAATCAGTAATCCACTGAAAAGCATAAAATAAAAAACTATAAAACTAATGTTATTGAAAGTCATATCTGCTAAAAATGTAAACGTTATCCGCAGTAGCACAGCCGGTTAAGTGATTGACTGATGTGTGAGAGGTCTATGGTTCGATTCCTACTGTTGCCTTTTTTAAGACCTACTTTTTTTTTTTTTTTTTTTTTTTTTTTTTGGGGGGGGGGGGTTGTTATTTCTTTAGGGGGAGGGGTGCAGTATATATTTTAAAACACTTTTTGTCTCGGTTTGTGTTGTGTTTATGGCATTGGAATGGTATTTTTAACATTTCAAAATAATCTTTCAATATTAATTTTAAACCAAAAAATGATTGCTACAAATAATTTTGAAAATTACGGAACACCTGAAGTGACATTTTCCACACTTTCTCCCGGAATTGAATTCGTTTTTACGAGATAATAATTCCCAATTATAAATATTATTTCGTTTCAACGAAATATAAAATCTTAATTACGAAATATTGATTCGTTATTACGAAATTTTTTTTTTAATGAGAAATAGACTCTTTCCTGAAAAATATACAGAGATATTCCATAACTTGTTTACCTCGTAGAAGCCTAAGCACTGGTTGGAGCTTCGAACATGAAGAAAGTTTTTCAATTCTATATATAAGTAACCCGATAAAAAACATGGCGGATGGCGTGCCCCGTAGGCGCGGGGACTTTTGTCGTCCATTTTCTTATCATGCGGTGTTAATTTCTCCATTTTGATTGGCTTAGGGCAGGCGGTGTACGGGTAGAGGTGGTCAAATCAGGAACAACGGCAATAATTAACAATTCAGTTAATAATCTAATTTGTTAACGATATGCTTGTTCTCGTGTGAAAAGGTTTTTTTATTTCTGTGCCCAAGTCATTATGAAATTATCTCTAGTTGATTAATATGCTCTTTTTTGCAATTATATTACTTGTATCAAGTGCTTAAGAAATACAGTGCATGCGTACTTGAGTATGCTATAGCTAATAAGTGTGCTAAATTTATAACAGAATTTGTAAACATTATAAACCGTCAACACCATTTGCTTTATGGCACAAATGTTGTACAATTTGCATCTGTAATCAATTTATAAGAAACCTATTTTAGTGACTGTAAAAACTTTTTAGATATATTTTTTTTTGAAAACCAAACCCCAAGGCCCCTTTTATAATTTTCTATTTGAAAGATTATTTCAACTAGGTCGGAAATTGGGTTATTTAAATGAAACTTTAGGTTTAAAAAGTGTTTATGAAATTAAAGATTTTTTTAAAATTTTTTTTAAAAGACAAAAAGGTACACATTTTTTAAATTAATGAGAGCTCTTTATTAAAGGAACCAATGGGTTTTTAAAAAAATTTTGGGGGTTTTGTTTCTGGCCCAAAATGTTTAACTAGTGTTTAATTAAATTAAAGGGACTGTTTCCCCCCATAGTTTTCCGATTTTTTTTCAGATTTTTTTTCACGGTGGAAAGTGAAACAAAAAAGTGTCATCTGGCGGTAAGGACCAATTTTATGTTTTTTTAATATTTTTTTAAAAAATTGCATGAATAATTTTCATAAAATAATGTAATAACTTTACCGATCCCTTTTGCTTTAAAATTTCATATTATTGTGTAGCAACTGTGTACCGCCTGAAAAAATTACAAACTTTATTGTTTGATCAATTGTGATTATTGTCCTATTGGTTATTATTAACCATTACCATGATAGTTTAGTAATATCATTATTAACCATTACCATGATAATTTAGTAATATCATTATTAATATCATTATTAACCATTACCATGATAATTTAGTAATATCATTATTAACCATTACCATGATAGTTTAGTAATATCATTATTAACCATTACCATGATAATTTAGTAATATCATTATTTAACCATTACCATGATAATTTAGTAATATCATTATTAACCATTACCATGATAGTTTAGTAATATCATTATTAACCATTACAATGATAATTTAGTAATATCATTATTAACCATTACCATGATAATTTAGTAATATCATTATTAACCATTACCATGATAATTTAGTAATATCATTATTTAACCATTTACCATGTAGTTAGTAATAATCGATTATTAACCATATTACCATGATAGTTTATTAATCATTATTTACCGTTTACCCTTAATTTAGTTTAATATCATTATTTAACCATTACCCAAAATGGACGAATTTAGTAATATTCATTATTTACCATTACGGATGATAATTTAGTAATATCATTATTAAACCATTACCATGATAATTTAGTAAATCATCATTATTTAACCATTACCGATTGATAGTTTAGTAATACATTTATTACCCTTTACCATGATAATTTAGTAATATCATTATTAACCATTACCATGATAATTAGTATATCATTATGTTAACCATTCCATATATTTAGTAAAATCTATTTAACCTTTCCTATTTTATAAAATCTTTATTTAACCCAACCTTATATTTTTCTTATTTTCCATTCCTGGGAAATTTTAATTTCATTATTTTAACCCTTACCATATAATTTTGTAATATCTTTTAACCCTTTCCCTGATTTTTTAGTTAAAATATTATTTAACCCTTTCCCTTATTAAATTAAATTTTTTAAACCAAATTTCCCCTGAAAAGTTTTTTAATACCCTTATTTACCATTTCCTGTAATTTTGTAAAATCCCTTATTAAACCTTCCATGTAATTTAGAATACATTATTAACCATTCCCTGATTAAATTTATAATACCTTATTTCCATTCCAAAATAAATAGTAAATCATTTTTAACCTTACCCCTGATAATTTGTAAAAATCTTAATTCCTTACCATTAAATTTGTAATAGCTTATTTTAACCCTTTTCCTATTTGTTTATAAACATAATATCATTATTTACCATGATAGTTTAGTAAATATCATATTAACCATTACATGGTAATTTAGTAATATCATTATTTACCATTTACCATGATAGTTTAGTAATATCATTATTGAACCATTACCATGATATTTTAGTAATATCATTATTTAACCATTACCATTGATAATTTAGTAAATATCATTATTAACCATTTACCATGATACATAGTATAGTCATATTAAACCATAACCATGATAATAGATAATATCATATTTTACCATTACCAAGAATAGTATAGTATACATGTATTAACCATGATAATTTAGTAAATACTCATATTTACATTGATTAATTAGCAATATCATTCGTACATATTAATCCATTACCGATGATAATTTAGAGTATACATTATTAACCATTTACCATGATTATTAGTAATATCATTATTAACCATACCAATGTAAGTTTAGTAAATATCATTATTAACCATTACCATGATAATTTTAGTAATATCATTATTTACCATTACCATGATAATTTAGTAATATCATTTATTAACCATTACCATGATAATTTAGTAATATCATTATTAACCATTACCATGATACTTTAGTAAATATCATTATTTAACCATTACCTGATAATTTAGTTTAATATCAATTTATGAGCGCGATAGTGAAATAGTAACTATCATTATTTAAACCAAATTACCATGAGTAATTTAGTAATAGTTCATTATTTACCATTACCTATGTAGTTTAGTGAATTTCATTAATATTAACCAATTTACCAATAGTTTAGTAATATTCATTATTTACCATTACCATGATAAGGATTTAAGTAATAATCATTATTTAATTTTAGTAATATCATTATTTAACAGTTACGCAATGATAGTTAGTATTCGATTAGTTTACCATTTACCATTGATAATTTAGTAATATCATTTATTAACCATTACCCATGATAATAGTTTAGTAATATCATTATTTACCATTACCCTGGCATAGTTAGTAATTGATCGATTATCTTAACCGAATTACCATGATAAATTTGAATATCATTATTTACAATCTTACCAATGATAGTCTATGATGATTCGATTATTTAACCGATTACGCATTGATAATTTAGCTATATTCTTATTTACCATTACCATGGATCGTTTTAGTAATATCATTTTATTTAAAACCATTACCATGAGAGTTAGTAACCCATTATTTTTACCGGGGAGGTTAGCGCGATGGAGATGGTTGGAGTTACGATTAGTTTACCATTCCATTGAACATGTAGTGAGACAAAGGAGATCCAAACAAAACCTTTTCCAATAGGCAGTGAAAAACAAACCATATAGTTTGGATTAATCGTTTGACTGATCGAGCGCTGCGGCCAGCTAGCACCTATTAAAGGCGGAAATTACATTATCGACACTACAATTTTTATTTCTCAATATCTTCTTTCTTCGGCGTGCGTGTTTTATTCTCAGCGGAAAATGAAAACAAAGGGTTTTTTTTTTATGGGAGGGAAAACCCCAGCAAAAAGTTTTAAAACCCGTCGGGATTAAAATTAAAAAATTTAGTTTTTTGGGTTTATTTTGTAACTTAAACCTCGTATGTTCCCTTTTCCCCTTTTCAAGGGAATAAAAAGGATTTGGGGGAAAAAGCAAAAGGGCCCAAAACCAAACCCCAAAACCCAGTTATGTGGTTTAAAATCCGAAAAATTTCAAGTTTCGGGTCAATTTTTCCCGAAGGACCACAAATATAAAACGGTGAAAGGGACAATAACTTTACCTTGGTTGTTGGGATAAAATTCGGGAAAAAGTGATCCCCCTTTGAGCCGTGAAATTTAAAAATAAAAAGGGTTTAAAAGACCTGGTTTTAATAGTCTGTTCATGGAAAGAAAAAGGTTTGGAAACTTATTCCGCCCCCAAAACCCCTGAAACCCACTTAAAATTGGGAATCGTAAATTTTTTTCCCCCTGAGTGTTTTTGGGGGGGAAACCGCCCAAGTCCCCATTCCCCGGGGTAAAGGGGGTTTGATGGGGATTTTTTCCCCTTTATAAAATACCGGGGACCATCTTGGCCCGAAAGCAATTTAAAAAATAAAAATGCCTAAAATCCCAGGTTATCTTCCGAAACAAAAAATTTTATTCACTCGGCAAATTGGGCGGGGGATGGGTTGCAAGTCACCCCTCTTGTTTTTGCTTTCGAAAAGGGGCCCCGGTTTATTTTGTCTTTTTTAAAAAGCTTGGGACATTAAAAGCTTGGGGGGGGGGGGGTTTTTTTTTTGGGTTTTTTTTGGGGGGGTTTCCCCTTTTTAGGAAAGGGAAAAAAGTGTCAATTGAAATGTTCCATGTAACCCCCCATTTTTTAAACATCTGCGGATTTTTTTTCCAAAAATTTAAATTTTTACCAGTTTTTGGGGAAAAGGTTTGGGAAATTTTGCTTTAAATCCGGGGGGGTAGGGGTGGGGGGTGTTTGCACTTGACAGTACCGTCCATAAAAGGGCATCAAACCGAGCCCCAAATTTTAAATTTTTTCCCTTTTTGGGCTTTTTTGGCTTTTTCTCTCTATTTTTCGCCCATCGCGTTTTTTTTGGGGGGGGACCGCGTGGGGGGGCCCGGGGAAAAAAAGTTTGGCCCCCGTTAATTCAATTTTGGGATTGTTTTCCGGGGGTCCCAAAAAATTTGTTCAGCACACAAAATTTTTTCTTGGGGTTTTTTTTTGTTTTTTTTTTTTTTTTGGGATCTTTCTTGTTGGATGGGTTTCCCGTATTCCCAACTTAAAACTGTTTGGAAAACCTGTAGGATTTTGTGGGCCCGCTTTTTAAATTTGTCTTTTTTACGGGATATCTGTATTAAAGCGGGTTCATGACCCCAAACCCCCTTTTAAAATTTTCCTTTTATTTGTTCCGCCCCTTGTTTTCTCGTTTGGGGAATGCATTTTTTTACTTGGGGGCCTATGCCGGGTTTTATGGAATGGCTTTAGTGTCCTTGAAAGGGTTTCCCTAAATTTAACCCCCATATGAAAAATCTGCGGATTTTCAAAATTTTAATTTTTACCAGTTATGTTTAAAAGTTTAATTTGCTTAACCTGCCCATGGGGGTGGGGGGAACGGTAGTTTTGCACTTTAAGTTTCCGGATGAAAACTCAAAACAAACCAGGCCCGCAAATTTTCAAAATTTTTCCCTTTTTGGGTTTTTTAGGGGGTTCTTATTTTTTCTATTTTACAAGCCAGGTTTCTTTAAAAGGGGGTTTTTTTGATATCCTTGTTATAAATATGCCTTTTTTAGAAAATCGAAAAAAAAATGGTTTGGGGAAAAAAAAACAAAATCTTTTAGAAAAGAAAGAAATTTGAATCCTAAAAAAAAGGGTCGTTGTACAATGCAGAAAGCGGGAACTGGGGGCAACTTTAAAATTAAAATTTTTTTTGGCTAATTTAAAAGGTTTTGTTAAAAGAAACAAAGGTTTAACCCCAAAAAGGGGTTTGGGAGTTCTACATGCCAGTAGTTTAGGGTGTTAGTTAAATTTGGGTCCCTAATCTATTTACTTTTTCTTGAAATTTTTTTTGGGGTTTTTAAAAATTTATTGGGTTTTTTATTTACTTTTAAAAAAAGGGGTTTAAAATTTTTTTAAAAAAATCATTTTAAACATGAGGAATTTTTTCATCTGGAAAATAACTTAAATTGTTATTTAAAAATCTTTTCCCTTTTAAACACTAAACAAAAATCATTCTTTGAATAATTCTCGTCTGGTGAATATTACTCACTCGGTAAATGTTGCTCACTGAGCACCAGACCGGTGCTAGGGGCATGAGGAATGTTACACTATTTCATTATCCCTCATGAACAGGCTCAATCAAACTGAGTCTGCAGTTTTCTTGTGGTTAATGCTTTTGTGGGACCACACTTTTCCGGCGGATTTTTACTCACTTTGTGAACACTAGTCATTGAGTATTGCTTACTTCATGAACACTATTTACTGGGCACTTCTCACAATATGTTCACTACGCACAGATCACTACCAATTCATAAACGTACACTTGTACTTAATGATCACTTCTCACAATATATGGACAATAACTCTATGAATAATACTCACTTATTACTACTCTCATAATTATATAAGTATCAGGACCGATACTTATTGAACATTATTCATAATAAGAACATTTCTCACAAGAACTACCCATATCATTCCATGAGCGATAAGGTGGTTGTGAGGAAAAAAAGATGATGATAATAAATGTGGTGGTGGTGGTGAAGAAGACAAAGGTGATGATAATGATGGTTGTGGTGAAAAAGACAAACGTGATGATAATGAAGGTAGTGGTGGCAGTGAAGTAGACAAAGATGATGGTTATGAAGGTGGTGGTAAAGAAGACAAAGATGATGATAATGAAGGTGGTGGTGGTGAAGAAGACAAAGATGATGATAATGAAGGTGGTGGTGGTGAAGAAGACAAAGATGATAATAATGAAGGTGGTGGTGAAGAAGACAAAGATGATGATAATGAAGGTGGTGGTGGTGAAGAAGACAAAGATGATGATAATGAAGGTGGTGGTGGTGAAGAAGACAAAGATGATGATAATGAAGGGGTGGTGAAGAAGACAAAGATGATGATAATGAAGGTGATGGTGGTGAAGAAGACAAAGATGATGATAATGAAGGTGGTGGTGGTGAAGAAGGCAAAGATGATGATAATGAAGGTGGTGGTGGTGAAGAAGACAAAGATGATGATAATGAAGGTTATGGTGAAGAAGACAAAGATGATGATAATGTATGTATTGGTGGTGAAGAAGACAAAGATGATGATGATGATGATGAAGGTGGTGGTGGTCCATGGTGATGGTGAAGAAAAAGTCAAAGATGATTATAATAAAAGTGGTGGTGGTGGTGGTGAAGAAGAAGAAGAAAATTTTGGTGATTATATTGAATAAACAGATCATATATATAGCTGTGGTGGAAGAAAGAGAAGAAGATGTTAGTGGTAGAAATCGTCAATTAATTTATTTTTTTAAGCAGCATGCCTCCAGATTCATCCTAATTTTCATGAAAATTTTGAAAAATATTTTAAGAAAAACCAACAAAATATTGTGAAATGAACAAAGAAAGAAAATTTTATTTTGACACATTTCAATCGGCACTTATAATCCACGTAAATTACGAAAAAGGTCAAAATATGCAAAAGTAGTCCAACTGTGTTTATAACGCAGTAGAAATATGGTGATAAATACTCCAAAATAAGTCATTAATTGCATTATCACTTGAATCTTTAATCTGTTTACTTTTCTTAAAAATTTAGTACAGTTTTTCCAAGTTTAAATTTATTGAAATATTTTGGCTCATCTGGAGGCGAGTAGCTTTAAATAGCCTGAATTATTCAGAGTATATTTATTTTAATCATATGGACCTTGGGATATTTAGTTCGGTTGTTTAAAAAGTTAATTGACTAATATTGCAGGTGAATTATTTTATTGCATGAGATGTCATGGGAGATCACAAAAAGTCAATTCCGATTTTATGCTGACTTGTTCGTTTCGTCATGTTTATGTTAAGTTGTACATAGATAATAATCTTTTCTAGCTAATACTGACACGCAATATTTGGGAGTAGATCTATATTTAGAAAACTCCTTTATTTTTTTTACTTGCACTTGCCTAAATCCATAAAGATCGAAAAACTGTGGTTTTAATGAAATAAAATGAACATTGCAAGGTGACAAAATTTGAGATATGAAAGCCAAAAATTATTCATACTTTATTAAAAAATAAATTGCGTTCGCGAAATTAGTCTCTTTTCGCACTTTACAATTTAACGGACATATCACCAATCTCCTACGCAGTGATCTCCCCTTATCAGTACAGAGATCTCTGCCATCACAAACATTGAAATATCCAAATTTGGATATTTATTTTTTTTAGCTTTTTAATTTATTTTTCATTATTTTGTGTACTTTTGATAATTTTTTGTTAAAATATAACGGACGTAGGTACAAAAAGTTAAAAATAAAACAGAAAGAGAAAAATGACGTTAGATTTTCTATGTAACGGTCGATATTTACATTTGAATTTCGACGTTACGTCATGTGACTTTCATCATCATGTGACGTCTGTGAAGGCAGTGATTACAATTCTGCCAAGGGAGGTAATCAGTGTGAGGAGTTTGACATATCACGTGACGATGACGCAAAACATAAAATAAGCATCCGCGTAAAAAACAGAACCGTCGTAGAAATATAGTGCAAATTCTTAACCGAAAATTTACAAATGGCATGAATCTGAGATTATGCACACAATTTTGCTTTCTTCGCATAAGAAGAAAGAATGATGAATGACACGAACTTTTACACTATTCAATAAGGCTTGCCTTTATTTTCATTTTCTCGCGTATGAATAATTTGACCTCAAAATACACAACAATGTGATCCGTTGAATGAACGATAATTTGTGAGCATAACTTGCATATTTTGCTCGTATATGTGGCGTTTTTGGTATTTTACATTAGAGTTTCTCGTTTCAATGTGTATTTAGCATTGGATAATTTGTATAAAAGGACAGTTTGAGAAGATAATCTTATGGATTGCCCTCATTTGGAAGAGTCAGCTCGAGTTACGACGCCCTTTGAAGTTGATGCAAAATCAGTGAATATCCCGTGCACTTTAAGATGTGCAGGTATGATGAAAGTATATATAAAAAACCATGCAAAATTAAGAGTTGTAAGGTCATTCAGCAGTTAAAATTTTTAATAGAAGGAATACAACGGGGGAGTAACTTAATAGAAAAAATTTTTCATTTTCCGTATATTCGCCCTTTAAAAATTTTCGACCCAAAAAAAAAATTTAAATTTTACTTTTCAGTATCCCCCATTTTCACGTAAAAAAAGTCACTCTTCATGACAGTTTTGAAAGTCGATAAAAGGTTTTTTGAACTTAAAACTATTTGTAAACAAGTATATTTGTATTTATATGATTTTCTCTCGTCGATTCTGACTCTTATTTGGAAAAAAAAACTTGCCCCAAAAATAACAAATACATTCATTTTTGTCTTTTTTTAAAAAATTCATTTTCTAAAGTTAAAAACTTTTAAATACTTCAAAAAACAACCGTCAAATTAGAGATGGAAAATTACCATGACGCCCGCTCCTGGAGCTTACCTCATTCGGAAAAACCTTTACCTTATGAAAATATAGGGCCCACCCCTAAATTTGCAGGGTTTTTTTCAGCTGATCTGATCAAAATATATTTTAAATTAAAAATTTTAAGAAACTCAATATTTTTTTTTAATTGTAAAATGTGTTTGATAAATTAAAACATTAAAAATTTTATTATTTTTAAAAAAAAATTTTATACTGAATTGGGTTATGGCCCCGTTCATTTAAACATTTTGATTGGAGATTGGGGCAAATGAGTGTCTAATTAAAATTTTTTGTTTTTGGATGGTGTATTTTTTTGCAGAAGTATTCATACCCAAATTTATTTAGGCCGAATCGTGAAAAGGCCGAAAGATGAGAAAAGGAAATTGAAATTAAATTTAAATTTTTATTTTCAAAAATTTTTTCTGATGACCCCGACAAATTTATACCTGGCTAAATCTTTTAAAAAACAAAATGTAAAAATATTTTGTCAAAAATTTTTTAGGATGAAAATTTGGGTTGAAAAGAAAATAAATTTTTTGAAAGTATATTATTGTAACCCAAAAAAACATTGGCACATTTTTTTCACACTTCAATTTGTAAATTATGATCTTTTATTTAAGTTGAGGGAAATTTTTTTTCCATTACTTCCTTTTTTATCAGTTAAAAACAGCAAATTTTGATTTATAAAAATTAAAATTTAAAAGTATCTATTTCAATGTAAGACGAAAAGAAACCCGGAAAATTTTGACATGTGGAAAACATGCTTGGCAGTAAATATTTTTTAATTTCCATGACAGAGGAAGGGGAAACATTATTTTGGTTTTTTGGGCGTCTTTTGTCACAAATCTGTTATCTTGACCATATCACAGAAGCGACAAGTCCTTTCAATTCCATCTACAGCAGTACAGCTTCAAAACTTGACCGGTGCATGCACCTGTTTTAACGCTACCTTCAAGAACCACTTAGAGGCTCATATTTTGTTCAAACATTGCACTTGTTTTCCTTTATGATTAATTTCATTAAACATACTTTATCAATTTGGAATTAACTTTTTGTTAAAAGTGCAATGGTATTGTACGGAAATTGTTTTCGAATAACAAATTTGATAGATTTTGAAAATTTTACATACTAAGTCTAAAAGTTAGGCTTTAAATGAAAATGTGACATGAACAGAAGTTTATTTTTCATTCAAGTGCTTTAAATTGTAAATGATTTTGTTGCTAAAATACTGTTAGTTTTCCTTACAAGTAGTTTATTTTATTAATTGAGAGAGATAATTTAATTTATTATTTAGATATGTGAGTGGTCATGCATTGAAGCATCATGAATCAAGGACTGGACATTGTGTGTGTATGGATGCTGACAGTTTTGCTGTGTACTGCTACACATGTGATGAATTCGTCACAAATGACACCAAATCTGGACATGTAGACTTGTTGAGGAAAAACTTACAGACCATAAGAAGGTAAAGAGAAAATATATATCACAAGAACTTGCATTTACATTTATGCATGTATATAGAATTTGGTTAATCTGTTAAGCAGTTTTATGGAAGTTTTTGTGAAAATGTAGCACATTAACAAATATTTGTTCACCATTTGGATTCAGGCCAGCTCCATAAAATTAAATGTTTCACCTAAGATCAGGGCTTCCATTATGATTAAGTTCTAAAATTTGGAAGTCAGAGACTGCAAATTGTCTGACATAGGGAGTTACATTATCTAGATAAAGAAAGAAAAGCATTACATGATTTTGGAAGTCACTAGCCAAACCTGAGGAATAAATGACTCCCAAACTTCCACTAACAGTAGTGCGATAGCTCAGTTAGACCACTGGCTGTCACTCCTGAGGTCCCGGGTTCAATCCTGGGTAACATCCTTGGGTTTTTTTTAATGACACTTTCAGTGTTTCTAACCTAACTAGAGTGTACTGGTAAGAAATCCAGGTATTCCTCGCATTAAAAAGTGCTATACACTGGGCATGTAAAAGAACCAAGGGATCTATTCAATAAGAGCTAGGGACTGGTTCCCAGATTCCCTTGTATCTCATAGCTGTCTCTGAAGTGACTAGTCTAGAGTCATGTCTATGTCACCGTGAGGGGTTTGACATTGATTAATGGAAGATAGATAGATAACGGTAGCCCTGCCCAAGGTTATCAATGAATCATGTATAATTGTTCATGTACACATATAATTGTTCATGTAGTACACATATAATTGTTCATGTAGTACACATATAATTGTTCATGTAGTACACATATAATTGTTCATGTAGTACACATATAATTCTTCATGTAGTACACATATAATTCTTCATGTACACATGAACTATCTGCATTATAATGCTTTCCAATAATTTTCTGTTATTTTATTTTTCCCAACATTATGTTTATGTGATTAACTAACAGCGCACAGAACCAGTTACGCCAGAAGTCACAGAGACGACGGTCAGATAGTTCACAGTCTGAATCGGAAAATGACAGAAAACGACAAAAGAAAGACGATAAATTAAAAAAGATAAGACCAAAATCTTCTGGTCTTAGAAACCTTGGCAACACATGTTTCATGAGTGCAGTCTTACAATCTCTTAGGTATGCTGGAGATATTACCTTGTTAATTGAATTAATTAACTACTTTTACAAGCATTTTAGTGCTTTTGTAGAATATATTTTTTCATTAATATGCCATACTTTTGCATTGATGGAAGAATTTGTTGTATTGCACTATGTTTGGAAAATTTTCTTTTTGTTATAAATGAAAATTAATTATGGTGGCTAACAGATGGGTCTCAATGGCAGAGGGTTTAAGGTTGCTCACTTGCCCATTTTCAGTTTGGGTTCAAGTGTTGCTAGGGATTTTGGATTTTTTTTTTTTTTTGAGGTAGCTTACTGAAGGTTAATGACTCTAAAAGATGCAGATTAGTGATGAAATTGTGCTGCATACACAAGAGCTTCCAAGGTCTTCCTCTACCATATAAATGTGAAGGTTACCTTGTGACCATTACAGCATTTTAAAAACACGAAACTGATAGTTTTTGTAGTTTACCCTGCAGATCAGGGCAGTAAGCTGCTTTGAATGTACCAGAGCACAGTTTGGCTAACAAATTGTTCCTGTCCTTTGCAAGGTACTGCTTTTACTTCTGCAATTGTCAGAGCAGAGGTACAGTGCAAATGACCGTAGAAAGGATTTCATGATCCACATCAAGGGAAAATTTACCCGCCTGTCCCGGAATCTAAAACCCGGTCGCCCGGTTTTACATCCCAAAGTTCACCAAAAAAGGGTTACAAGACGTTTCAGTTTCATTTTAAAAATTATCAGCGTAATTTAGTCATGAAAAAATATAATTCTAATTTATGTTGCTTTATAAAAATCAAAAGATAAAAGACATATTGGTTTAAGTTATTACGTTATAAAGGGGTTATGATTTAAGTTTAGTCAAATTTTTTAGTAACATTCAAAAATTTCTGTGGTTTTTATCAAAACAATCCTCCCAGATACAAAAACAAAAAAATTCTAAAATTTGAAAACGCAAAAAATTCAAGGCGGCAATGATGAAGATGTGTAAGTCTTTTATATTAATATAAGGTCCAACAGATAAAAAGGAAAGTTTTACTAACCAATATCTGGAATTCGGTTTTTAAAAACTGTCTTTCTGCTTCCACATTTGTTTGTTTGGCAGTGACGAAGATGGATAGGTCTTAAATATTGTGATAAAGTTTTACGTCTAAGGGAAGATTTTAGCATTTAATCATTCAAGTGCCTTGTCCATTATTTACTGGAAAACAGTATGTAGTGTGGTTCTCCAACTCTTCTTTTTTTTATCTCTCTCCTTGATTAATTCTTAAAGTAAGGGTCATTTGTGGCAGAGTTGTTTAAGTTGCTGATATTGCATTACTTTTATCCTTTTATGTCACTTAACAGTTCCAATGATAAGCAATCATTTGTTTTTTGTGCCCCCACGTTAGTGGCGGGCATTTAGATTTACCCTTGTCCGTCCGTCCGTCCGTTCACTTTTGTGTCGCACGTAACTCAAAAAGTATTTGACCTAGAGTCATGAAACTTTACAGGAATGTTGATCAGCATGTGTAGTTGTGCACCTGGGTATTTTCGTCTGGATATTTTTAGTATTTTCAGAGTTAGTGCCCTTGACTTAGTTAAATTTTGCAATTTTCAACTTGTGTCGCATGTAACCAGGCTGTCAACCAATTCCTATATTCCTATAAAACTCCTATATTTTGGGTCGGAATCCTATATTTTAAAAAGCCTCCTATTTTTCCTATATTCTCCTATATTTTGAATATTTTTCCTATATTTTTTAAAAAATATATTGCCGAGGAATTCAAAGAGATTTAAATTTTGGTACTGCTTTTGGCCTTTTGTATTTTACAGGTAAGAGAATGTGTATGCCTGCATCAGCATCACATTACTATGCTCAAGGCTGCTGTGCTCCACATAGCAATCTGCATGGTCACCATGAAAAGCAGTGCATCAGTATGTCAACTTTATTTTAGGTGACCATTCAGATGATGGTCATGCATTGCTGTAACTTTCTGCCGGGATGCTGATGCTGTGGTTCAAAGCTAATGCAGGCTGTCCGCTGCGTCCCTAAAAATCCTAAAAAAATCCTAATTTTTTCAGTTTGGCTAAAATTCCTAAAAAAGTGAAAAATTCAAAGGGAATTCCTAAAGATGCCCTATTTTTTCACTGAGACTCAGAAATTCCTCATTTTTTTTTATCTTTTGTTATAAACATACTTATAACTTGTAACCCTGTCAAAATAATCACGGACATAACTAAGTTGACCATGTTTTGAACATGGTCAAAAATGATTTGGCCATGATTTGCCAACTCAAAATTGATGACATTGTAACATTGCTATTTCATAATCAAAGCAGTTGTTGATAATCATGTTGACAGCAAAAATACAGTCTAACTTGCCCATGCGACCACGTGTATTAAGCGACTTTTGTCTTAAACGACCACTTTAAATTCCCCCCGATCATTTACTCTCTATATCTTTAATGTATTAAGCGACTTTTGCTCAACGCGACCAGCGACCGCTAATTAGTCACCTAATTAAAATAAAGCTTTTCATTAAACGACCACTTTTACCTGTCAAGTAATTGTGTTTTAAGAGAACGCCGCCTTGTAATGTGACAAGTGTCAACAATCAAAACACAACAAATAAACGTGTGAAAATCTCTATTTCCCAAACCGGTTTAGCGTATGCAAATGAAGGTAAGTATACGCGTGACGTGTATTATCCAATAATATCAGATAAACAATGCAACGCTCCGCCCCTACTGAGATGGTGAATACGCTTGGCTTGTTGACATTTAGACTGCATTGAATTGACCTTGAACTTGATCAGCAGTTAAATTTATCGTAACAATTAGATGTAGTTTGTTTATTTCAAATGAAAAAATGCACAACACAAAACATCTTCACTATTAGGGTTTTCGTGTTGGAGACAAGGAAAAACAACGGAGAAGTTAACAAATTCTAGAAAAAATGTCAAACATGTACGTAATGGATCAAAACTGTTTTGCACCCCGTTTTGTCAATAAATATCAGAAAGTTATGTTTTACATTTGCATCCATTTAGATTATCGGAGCGTACTAATTATTCAACATTTATATAAAAATGAAGTTAAAAAGCATTCCTACCGCATAAGAAAGATGTCATTTATAAATTTTGACTTTTATATCATGCTGACTGTCTTAAGAGACCGTTTCATTAAGCGACCGTTTTGGGTGTTTCCCTTGCGCGGTCGCTTAATACACGTTTGACTGTACTACCATATCATGGTCCTGAAACTCAAATCATAACCATAAGAGTCCACTTATTCTGGAATATTTTGACACTTTTTTACCAACTCCAGATATCTTGAATTTTATGTTTGTTCATTTTATCCAAATTTCTGAAGTGGTCCATTTATATCATATCATATTTAAAAATGATCATTATGAAGCTGTTGTAACACAATCTTAATTAAAAACATGTGTAAATAGTTGTCAAAAATTAATGTACAATTTGTTTACTCACAACTCTTTTATTTAAATCTGCATAATATCAAAACAACATTGTAAAGTACTGAATGGGTTAACGTAGACTTTGAAAAATTAATTCTTTCCCTCATACTTATTTATCCTTTTTGATGTCTTTGTAGCAGAAATTACTTATTTTGCCACAAAGTTTTCAATTTCATTCAACTCTTGTTCTTTCATTCATCTGGTACAATTTAGGAAAATGCAGACTCATATAATTAATCACACTCAAAAATAATTTGGCAGTTCAGTAATATAATGCTCATTTCCAATTACAATGTACACCCATTTTGCAATTATGTGATCTAGATAAACTGCAATTGAATGGTCTGTGTGATGAACTTTTTTGATGTGCAATTCTTTGTGTTGATTATAGATGCTTCCCATTTATTCAAATGACTGTACTAAGGCAAATGCCTTTTTACTTCCTACTTGTACAAAAAATTTCATTTGTCCATATTCAAAAACTGCATTGTGCAAGAATTTTACTGTATAAGAATTCCTTTTAGACACTTGTGGTTATAACATTCCCAAAACATAGGTAAAACATGTTATTTTTGACATGTTCAGCCAGTTTAGAAAAATATGATTTGACCATTTCTGCAGGGGAGGCAGTTGACCAGTGAGTCCACACTGGTAGCACCTTTGCTCTAACTAAACTAGAACATTATTTGTGAGTTACTTTTGTGTCAAATATGCAAAGATTAGCCCTCATCATGGTCCTTTGGGACCTTAGTTTATTTAGTTATAAAATTGCAAATTTTAGCCCTAAAATTTCTATTATGTACCCTAACATTCCTAATTTTAGCCCTGAAATTTCTGAAAAATTACCCTAAAATTCGCCCTTATTTTATGTGGGAAGGTGCTGGACAGCCTGCTAATGGTGTCCTTCACTTATACGGTAGACATTTTATTGTAGAAACAGCATGTGTAAAAGTAAGAATAATTAACATTTATATAAGCATTGGTAAGTTAAACAATTTAAGTTGAAAACTCCTATTTTTTGCCTTAAAATGGTCCAAAAACTCCTATATTTCCTGCAAAAATATTCCTATATTCCTCCTTTATTTTGGATAAGACCTGGTTGACAGCCTGATGTAACTCAAAAAGTATTTGACCTAGAGTCATGAAACTTTACAGGAATGTTGATCAGCATGTGTAGTTGTGCACCTGGGTATTTTCGTCTGGATATTTTTAGTATTTTCAGAGTGATTGCCCTTGACTTAGTAAAATTTTGCAATTTTCAACTTGTGTCGCACGTAACTCAAAAAGTATTTGACCTAGAGTCATGAAACTTTACAGGAATGTTGATCAGCATGTGTAGTTGTGCACCTGGGTATTTTCGTCTGGATATTTTTAGTATTTTTAGAGTTATTGCCCTTCACTTAAATTTTTGCAATTTTCAACTTGTGTTGCAAGTTTCTCAAAAAGGATTTGACATAGTCATTAAACCTTATGGGCAGGTTGCTCAGCATATTTTAGATTTGCACCTGGGGTTTGCTTGTGGATTTATCCAGTATTTGCAGAGTTATTTCCCTTGAATTAGTAAAAAGATTGACAGAACAGTGGCGCGGTGGGGGCACCCGTGTCCTATAGACACATTTCTAGTTCTTAGCTACATTTATTCATGACTAATAATGCACTCAATTTGCACCTTTGGTCTTCCCCAACTGCCATAGCCGTATAGTCACCATATTTCTCTAAAACTGTTGGTGTGTCTTTAAATCAAGTCCTAAAAAAATAAAACATGAACAAAAATTAAACAATAATTTTTCCTTAAAAGAGACATAAACTTGTTTGATGCTTCTGTTTATTTGCTATTATTGACAACATATTTGGGTTTTTTTTCTCTCCCCAGTTTGCTTGTTGAAGAGTTAAGGAAGACATTGATAGCTATATGGGAAGGTGGGAAGTCAGCAATATCCCCAGAATCCCTGCTTCATGTTATCTGGAAACTTGTCCCGAGGTTCAGGTATGTTGAAACGTTCTTGTTAATCCAGACGTAACATATTCATATTACGTAAATTCAATGTGCTTCAAAAGTTAATTGCATAAACCATGTAAGTACAATGTAAAGTAGCATTATGATATTGAACGATCGCATGACAAAACAACCCTTACAGTCATTTTACAAATGACGCCAAAAGACTATAACAATGTCATTGATGTTTAAAATAAAAAACACAACTGAATTACCTTTGAAATGTTAAAGATAAATATGAACAGGTAACAAACAATAAGCAAATTTCAAAAGTTTTTTTTTATTTATTTCAAGACCTATAGAATTGAATTTCTTTAAATTTAAAGTAAGTGAGGTTAATGGTTGTTATGTCATGCTGGGGGGGGTCAATTTTGATAGTGAGACAGACAGAACAATGATGAATGTGTAAACTGTATATATTTCAGAGGGTATCAGCAGCAAGATGCTCATGAGTTTATGAGATATCTGTTAGACAGACTTCATACAGAGTTACTGGCCCTGCTGCCATATACAGCTACAAATAATAATAGCCCATTTATAGGTAACCCTTTGAACTGTGATGAGATAGATTTATATATGATTACTGTGTATGATTACTGTGTTCTTTAATGGAGAGAGATTATTTTAGCATATCGGACTGGATTTTCTGGCAATATCATTGGTGCTGAGAATTGTCCATCCATTTACGAGCTGGGATCGAAAGTGATTAGCCTTTGCCACCAGTATAGAGCCAGGCCAGCCTGACCAGGCTCTATACTGCCAGCTCAGATTTTGTTATTTGATATTGAAATCTCTTAAACAGTTGTGATATTAGGATGCTTATAATTGATCACTCTAGCATATTGCCTTTGTAATTTTATTACTGCTCATCCGAAATCCAAACTGTGCATAATTATTCCACAAACAGACGAAAAACTAATGTTGGATCTATTAGTGTGAATTTACTTGTAATAACTACAAACTGTGCATAATTATTCCACAACGCACCCAAAATAAATATCAGATCTAATACTCTGAATGTAAGTGTATTTAGTATATGCTAAAAAAAATTGTTTTATTTATCTTGTGGTATTTTCTAATTTTAGGTCCGAAAGGTAAAAGTACTATTGTAACAGCCATATTTGGAGGTTTATTACAGAGTGAAGTCAACTGTCTTATATGTGGTGTAGAGTCCAAAAAACATGATCCCTTCCTAGGTACAGTAGATATATTATTCTTGATGGTGATTTCAATTTTAAGTTCAGTTTGAGTACTGTTCAAATTTAGCAAGTAAATAAGAAGCCCTGTTCAAATTAAGCAAGTAAAGAAGTACTACCATCCAAATTTAAAAAGTAAGTGTGTAGTACTGTTCAAATTTAAGAACAAATAGCATAACTATTCAAATTAAAGTGGTCTTTAGCTTTTATTTTCTGTTGGAAAATCAGTTCAGTGTTGTTTCAGTAATTTTATCTTGGAAAAGTGCATCATATCACTGTTAAACCTTCTTCAAAACAGCGTCCTGAGAGCTTTTTATATCACGTTAGTGAAGTTCATTTCTAGAAATAGAAGATTTTTGGAAACAAATTGTCCACTTTATAAATTTAAATATAGAGAGCGGAAAGATAGATTGGAAGTATGGAGGGGTTTCATTATTGTTTATTTACTTTATCATCAGCAAATTTCATTTTCCACCTTAATTCTTTTGATATGACAATTGTAAGTAAAGAGGTATCTAAAAAATAATATATTTAACCTTTAGAAAAGCTTTAAACAACAAATAAATGAGTATTACAGAATAAAACCAAAATAAATTTACACATCTGGAGATGTGGCTCTTTAACTCCTAGAGATATGTGCCATGGCATAAATTTGTAACTATGTATATAAAGAAAGCTGTCATTCTAATGTTTTATTTTTGCAGATCTTTCATTAGATATACCAGTTCAGTATCATAACATAAAATCCTCAAAAGGCAAAGAAAATATAGACCAGCCTGTATGTAAATTAGCAGGTAAAAACTTTCTGTTATGTTTTTGTATGATGTATTCTTTTTCTTTATTCATGATTTGCAAGAAGAAAGAATAGTGGGCACGCGTTATTGATGCTGACCGCTCCAAAAAATTCTATTTTGGATCTCCCTAACCTAACCTCTATTTTGATTGTCAACCCTATATTATTATTTTTTTTGCCTGTCTGTCTGAGATATTGCATTTACACTCTTTGCTAATTACTGTCCCCAGACTTTCTTTGTTGCAATATTGTAATTAGTCATTCAGTTTAATGGTATTAAGCTAAATTGGACTGTAACAGATAAATTATTTAATTGTATATTGATTTGAAAGAGTAATGTTTGTCAATTTTTTGATAAAGTTGGTGACACATGATAGAAATCATAGAAATCATTACATAATCTGCATGTACCTACAGTACTATAATAGCAGTTGATTTGTTGTGAGGGAGCATTTAATTTTGTTTTCATGTAGAAAACATGAATTTAAACTTTTTTTAAATTTGAAAACAATACGGTTTTTAGCTCGACTGTTTGAATAGGGAGAGCTTTTGTACTCGCCCTGGCGTCAGTATTGGCATTGCTGTCGCTGTTTGGTTCAGTTTCTGCATGCAAGTTGGTTATTTCAAAAACTACTGGTCGGAATGGATTGAAACTTCACACAAATGCTCTTTGTGATCAACTAATGTGTCCCATAAGTATGAGTTACCATTGTGAGAGTTATGCCCCTTTTCTTGCTATCAAGCACTGAGAAAAGTGAACAGCTCTTGTTTGTTTCATTTTACTACAATAAAATATCATTGAAATGTCATTGAACATGGTTAAAAAATTCTATATCATCCATGTAAGCAGTATTATCCTCTTTTGTGTATGGGTAGAACAATATTTCAGAGATAATTCTGTTATTTAACCATTTCAGAATGTTTAACGCATTTCACAGAGGTAGAAGAGCTAGAGGAGACAGAGTTGTATATGTGTACAGGGTGTAAAAAGAAACAGCGATCTACTAAAAAATTCTGGATACGTAGACTTCCTAATGTAAGACTCATTTTGAAGGTTTTAAGTGTTAAAACCTTGTCATTTTGCACCATGAAATCCCTTGAGAAATATTAAATTGGGGAAAATTATAAAAAAAATAAAACATTCAGTTGGTGAAAATTGTGTATTGGGAATGATGCCTTATTTTGGCCTGAAAATGCCCTGCAACAGGAGGAATTGTTTATAAACTGCCTGCCTATCTAACTTTCCCCATTAAATAACCAAATTTTTCTGTTTAAAAAAAAAAAATAAACATAATAAAGGAAGTGAAAATGTTCAAACTTTTTAGAAATTGCATGTAGAATGACTGTTTCAATCTTGGTTTTTAGTTTTGCAACAGCATATCTCAGGGATTCTCTTGACATGAACCAGTACCTTCACATAACAATTATTTTATTTTCATATCCAAAATTTGAGCTCAAATGGACATTATACATGTTAAGTTCGACTGCAATTAACAAGCCCATATGGCTATTTTCAGCTCATTATTCCATCATTCTTCTTGCACATTTCAGGTTTTATGTTTACATTTGAAGAGATTCAAGTGGGTGACATCATTTCGACAAAAGTTGGAGACGTATATAGAGTTTCCGTTAACAAATCTTGATATGAACAAGTACATTTTAGACATGGTAAATAACTCAATATAATGTTTGAATGAAGAAAAATATGGTCTCATTTTGGCAGAATACAATATTTTAAAGACTTGGAAACTACTGGAATAAGAATATTTTGAAGCATCTTCTATGATATGGTTATAGTTGTTTAGTTTGTGGAATGAGAGTAATGACCTTGTGGTTTAGATGTTTGCCTCTTAACCGAGGTTTTGCAAAAAAAAACAACAGCAGCAAAACATGCTTCTCTCGGGACAATAAGGTTTTCAATATCAGAATGTTTGAAGTTTGTAACACTAGAGGTCAGTCAATATCATCTTTCCTGTTTTGGCGCCGTATGACCTAAACTGTGTTGGTGTGCCATATCAAACAAACAGAGCTGATGTTTTCCTTATCAAGTTAATTGTACTTGCTGAATTTGTGAAGACCAAGCCTATTTGTATAAACACTTTTATACTTTAAAATGCTTAAGAAAGCTTCTTGACAGCGTTCCCAGGAATTTAAATATAGTGCTATTTGCAAGGGGAGCAGTGGCCTAGTGGTTAAGGTTTCTGCCTGTCGACCCAGGGATCATGGGTTCAAGCCCTAATAGGGTCATGACCATGTTTCTTCATATGACACCAGTACTGGTTGGTTCCAGGAGTTATAGACTCGAAAGTGATTAACATAAGTTGCAATAACTTGTTTCACAGTCAAGCTTAGATAATTATGTTTAAACAAAAGTGCTATTTGTAAATATTTCAGCATGAAACAAGGGGTACAAGTGTAGGAAGTAATATCTATGATTTGGCTGCTGTGATTGTCCACCATGGATCAGGGTGAGTCAACAGTTACCATGTCTTGCCTATCAGACTGGACCCGGTTGTTCAAAACATTGGTTAAAAATAACTTATGAACAATTTTTCATTAGTTTTACCCATGTCAGAATTTTCATCTGGGTTCAATATTTTTAGTATTAATATGCGCTCATTCAATATCCTCTATTATTATAGGGTTATTACTAACTCAAGATTGAGGAAAAGAAATAACAATTACAGAGAGAAAGCTGTGATAATTTTATCATGTTGCTATGGTTATATTTTGTACATATAATAATTTTTTTAATCTTCCCAGGCTAGTTTTTCGAAAAAATGTCTGAAAATTATGAACCATTTAATAGAGAAAAAAAGGAATACCTAAAGAACACCCAAAACTGCAAAATTGAAAATGTTGCAGGCACATTTGATTGAGCTTGTTCATGGAAGGTACTGTAAAGGCACGCGCCCTAGTCCTGGCTTAAGCAGAATTCAACATTTAAACACACAAATGGTGAAATTTTGATTTTAGAAAATCAGCATTGTATTTATGAACCATTAAATGCATGGAAAAGTAATAATTTGTTTATTTTGTTATTGTCTGATTTCTAGGGCAGGGTCAGGTCACTATACAGCATATGTATTAAATGAAGGTAAGTCATTTTATACCCTGGAAATGTTTCCTTTGTATTTAATGGTCAAAGTTTACTTGGACAGTCTGCTATCAGGAAAACAGGAATGATTAAGTGTCGTATCATTATAGAATAGAAATAAAGTATTGCAATGTTAATTTTGTTTTATTACATGCCCATTCTCCTTTTTTCGGCTATGTTTAAACAGAACAGTGTATGATATGCAAATGAGGCGTTTGACATGAAATGTATTTAACTAGGCTGTTATATTTCCCTTAGTGGTTGAGGTAGTAGGTTTCAAATCACTTGCCCCTCACTGCTGTGGGTGTGAATCCTGCCAGTGAATTTGGATTCTTTCATGTGAGGAAGCCATTTAGCTAGCTTATGGAGCATCGGTGCCTGCAGGCAGAGTCCAATTTTGTGAAGAGCATAATATCTCCTACACTCATGGAGGGATTTTATTAAAACTACATAGAAATGTTTACTATGAGAAGCCGTGTCTCAGACATAAACCAGGTCTCTAGTTTAAAGGTCAAAGTCACACTTAGAGCTCATTGAAAAACGCTGGTAATGATTTCTGGCCATGTGGATTCCCTGTCGGGCAAGCCATTGTTTCCTTGACTTACACTTGTTACAGAAACAGGTTCAAGAACGCGTCTATAAGCTTATAGCTTCCTACAAATTAAACTAAAATAAGTTCTGTATACACTGAAACCAAGCTTTTTAACTTGAAAATAAAGTCAGATCCTTTTTCATTTAATATTTTCTCTATATTTCAAGGTCAATGGTACCATTTCAATGACAGTTCAGTAACAGCATGCGAACAGGAGACGGTGATGCGATGTAAAGCGTACATCTTGTTCTACATCCGACGAGAGATACGCCTGCCAGATTATCTTAACGTATCCAACGGCAACGGCCGAGCTGGTTCTCATTCCAGTTCACGTAGTTGAGAAACATTTTAATTAAACCACTTTTTACCAATTAAAGAGAGAGTAGTGAAACTACTTTGTGATCTGGAGAAGGGCATCTTATTATTATATGTTTAAAAAAATCACCATCTAAGCTTATTATTTGATGAGCTAAAAATAGAAAAGAAAAACTAATGGTGAGCAGTCAATATTCTTACAGCCTTGTGCTATTGTGCTATGGGTTTTGTTATGATTAAAAGAAGGGACCTATGACAGTAAGTGTAAAATGACTACACTCTGTAGTTTCAATTGTTGCTGATTTTTTTTTTCAACCAACAAGAGTAGTTTCCCTTGTTTCACATTGATTTTTTTTAGCAACAAGAGTGGTTTCCCTTGAAACACATTGATTTTATTTGTCTACCAATACAAGTAGTTTCTATTTTTACATTTTCGAAATAGTGCTATTGTCGGAAGTAAGAGTTTCTTTTATTGAAATGGAACAATCATTAGATGTAATTAAGTATACTTTTCAATATCAAATCATATTAAAGTAGATACAAATTGAGTTCGGTTATAAGGAATGCAGAAAATCCAGAATTTGACAAGATTCTTTTATTCCGTTCCTTGTATTATTAATACAATTGTTTATAATATTTCATAATTTTTAGGGTGATAATAATTGATAATCAGTCTCATATTTTGCCAGATTATATTCTGGTTTAACCCCTGCCTTGCTGGAACTGAATGGAAATAGCCTTTGCCTTCAGTATATAGCCAGGCCTACCTGAACATCTGATGCAGTCTGACTAGGATCTATATGTGGGTAGCTCAAGTTTTTGTCTTTGGATATTACTAAAATAATCCCATAAACTTTAAATGGAGTGTTCAAAATACAAGGCTGGGCAAATCCTATGTGAAAATTCAGCAGTGTTAAGGGACATTATCTGTAACAAGTCTTGTTTTCGTACAAAATTAAAAAAAACTAGTTCCAACCATGTCAATAAATGTTATTATTTTCTGAAGAAGAAAATAAGAAAGAAAAAGAAACCATTGATTATTTATTCATTGTAATTTTTTTTACAAAAATGTTGAGAATAAGGGAACTACTTTACTCTATCATTATTCAAACATGCATAAAGTTGTGCTAGGATGTACATAATATTATACAGTAAACTGTTTCACAGTTTCATCAAAGTTTTCGTTGAATGTTGGGAGGAGGGTTAAACAACCAAAGTCTTTCTTTTGTGATTAAGAATGAAAGAAGAATGAATAATTGAGGGAAGAATGAATAATTGAGAGAAGAATGAATAATTGAGAGAAGAAATGAATAATTGAGAGTAGAAATGAATAATTGAGAGAAGAATGAACAATTGAATAGAAGATTAAATGATGTAGTGACTGAATGACATTGTGACAGTATTTTGAATAAGTTTTTTATGCCCCGGGCATATAGTATTTGAACCGTCCGTCTGTCTGTCCGTACGAGGTTAACCTAGAACGGCAAGTTGGATTTTTCTTAAGTTCTACCTGTACCAATGGCTTCTAAGTTTACACACTTACTAATCAGTACAAAGTACATGATCTGAGCAAGTTTCATACCTCTGGCTTTCATATTTACCAAGTTATTGCCCTTTTCAGCACTTAGAAAATGAATAATGGTTAACCTAAAACGGCAAGTTGGATATCTTAAGTTCTATCTATACTAATGGCTTTATAATTTCCACACTTACTTATCAATACAAAGTACATGATATTGCCAAGTTATATAACTGTGTCATCCATATTTCCAAGTTATTTCCCTTTTTTCACTTTGAAAATAGGGCCTTGTTCGGCAAGTTGGATTTATCTTAAATTTCTCCTAATTGCTTTATTTCTTTAATGATATCTTTCATATTTAGTAGGTGGATACCTTTAATGGTCCTCTAATTTTTTGTGGAGTAAGCGGTCTCTAGGGTCAAGGTCACTGGTTTAAAAAATAAATATAAACATTTTTGCTCATACAGCCTTTATTTTTTAATTGATGTCTTAGTTTAATACAAACATGCCAAGGGAGGTCCTCCTTCTTTGGCTGTAGTAAGGGGTCATTAGGGTCAAGGTCAATGTTACCAATGTCAAGGTCACCAATGTTAAAAATAGATTTTTACAGGTGTATTGACCTTATTCTATAGACAGATGTTAATTATAATTGATAGAAACATAAACTTTGATGGAGTTAGTGGTCAGTTGGGTCAAGGTCACCAGTGCTAAAAATAGATTTTTACACATTTGCTCATACAGCCTTTATTAAGTGACAGATTTATTTCATATTTGGTAGGAAGATAACTTGCATGGTATTCATCCTTTTGATTGGGGTAGGGATTAGTGGGTCAAGGTCACTTGTGCTAATAATAGATTTTTACACTTTTGCCCATACAGCTTTTATTTATTGACAGATGTATTTCATATTTGGTAGGAAGATAACGTGCATGGTATTCTTCCTTTCGATGGAGTAAGGGGTCATTTGGGTCAAGGTCACCAGTGCAGACTTCCCGAAATACGTCGGTCCGACGGACATGTCCGATAAATTTTGATCAGGTCCGACAATTTTTTATTCCGGATCGGTCCGACTGTCCGGCTTTTATCCAAGCCGCATGTATACAAAATGGCGTCGCTAAAGGTGCCAAACCTGGGAAAAACCGAAAATCTACGTCAGAAGAGTGCGCAGAACAGCAATAAAAGGATGAAAAGAATAGACCCGAGACGAAATTTAATGAAAAATGGAAGCAGAACCATGAATCATTGGTGTATGACAGGGAGGAGATGGAAATGCGCTGTACGGATTGTGCCGATTTTTACGGCGAAAAGATAAAAAACAAAAAGTGTCTTAGAAATACAAACACAAATTTTTCTTTGATTTTGATCAATTTTATTTGGTCTGACAGATTTTGTTTCGGTCCGACAGATTTTCATGGTTTGTCAGACCGAATGTCTGACAGTTTTTTTCAACTTTCGGGAAGTCTGCCAGTGCTAAAAATAGATTTTTACACTTTTGCCCATACAGCCTTAATTTATTGACAGATGTATTTCATATTTGGTAGGAAGATAACTTACATGGTATTCTTCTTTTGGATAGAGTTAGGGGTCAGTTTGGTCAAGGTCACCAGTGCTCAAAATAGATTTTTACACTTTGCCCAAACAGCCTTTATTTGATGACAGATGTATTTCATATTTGGTAGGAAGATAACTTGCATGAAGTTGAATATTTTTCAACTTCACAAGTTAGAGCAATGACTTGGCAACTTATACACTTAACGAAACTTATAAGTACTCCGATTTCAAACTTGCAGGAAAACTCCGGTTTTCAAAATATATACTAAACTTGAAGGTATTTGATTTTTTTTTTACATTGGTGATCTCAGTTACTGATTTTCTGTTAAGTTTGAGTTATTGTAAAATGCATTTACTATTATAAAATGATGATACTATGATAAAAGTTTATACAGTATCGACTTAGACTAGTTATAGTTATTCTAACACAATATAATAAAAAATTGGTCGGAGTACTTATAAGTTTATGGGTAAACATTTTTTGAAATATTGCTACTGACAAGAATCTGAGCCCGGGGCATTTGTGTTTAACAAACACGTTCTTGTTTTTTCTTCTATTGTGCTGGAACATATGTGTACAAGAATGTATGTAGGTACAGTCAAAGTATGTTTAATTTACTGCAGAATAAATGGAATATTTTTTGTGTGTGATTAGATTCGACATTTACAGATGACATGTTAATGCGACTGTGAATATATGTAATGTGGCATTTGAACTGGCTTAAATGAATGTGCATTTTCAGCCACTTGATTTGAACAGTTGTAATGTGGAACTACATCAGAATGGTGTAATGTAATAAATTACTTGTTTATGTAATGTGATACATGATTTGAAAAATGTAATGTGACATTCACTCTTGAGGGATATAATGTGACACTCAGTCTTGAGGGATGTAATTTGACATTCACTATTGAGGGACGTAATGTGACATTTACTCTTGAGGGATGCAATGTGACATTCACTCTTGAAGGATGTAATGTGACATTCACTCTGAGTGATGTAATGTGACATTCACTCTTGAAGGAATGTAATGTGACATTCACTCTTGAGGAATGTAATGTGACATTCACTCAGAGTGATGTAATGCGACATTCACTGTTAGAGATGAAATGTGGCATTCAGTATTAGTGATGTAATGTGACATTCACTCTTGAGGGATCAATGTGACATTCACTGTGAGTAATGTAATGTGCCATTCACTCTTGAGGGATCAATGTGACATTCACTGTGAGTGATGTCATGTGATATTCACTCAGATTGCAGATTGATGAAATGTGACATTCACTATAAGTGATGTAATGTGACATTCATTCTTGAGGGATCAATGTGACATTCACTTTTAGTGATGTAATGTGACATTCATTATTGTGGAATCAATGTGACATTCACTGTGAGTTATGTAATGTTACATTCACTCTGAGTGATGAAGTGATGTTCACTCTTGAGAGATGTAATATGACATTCACTTTGAGTGATGTAATGTGACATTCATTCTTGAGGGATTTAATGTGACATTCTCTCTTGAAGGATGTAATGAGACATTCACTCTGAGTGATGAAATGTGACATTCACTCTTGATGGATGTAATGTGACATTCACTCTGAGTGATGAAATGTGACATTCACTCTGAGTGATGAAAAGTGACATTCACCCTTTAGGGGTGTAATGTGACATTCACTGTGAGCAATGCAATGTGACATTCACTCTGAGTGTCATAATGTGACATTCACATAGGTTATGTTATGTTATGATTTGAATCATAGAATAAGTTGACATTACCATTGAAATCAGAATGATATTGAACTGTTAGGTAACATGTGTAAATTTAGTTTTAAGTGCTAATTGTTATTAAGTAACTTCAGTCAAAAGTGCATTAGGGGTCACCACTATATGACGTGACCCTGTCAGTAACGATTACATTTAGGTCTGGCGGAAAGAAATTCCTGTACATTTATATGAACACTGATAATATCTTGACCCTGTTTAACACGGTAAGTGGCCACTAAATATCTGATCAAAACAGATTAAATAATGGTCAGCATGAGAAAAATATATGACAACTTTTTGTTCTCATTATGAGGATATTTTTTTTTTTTGACTTTTGAGCGAGATATTGCAGTTTCGTGTTAAAATTAAGTCTGCAGTCGTGTTTTGTTAGCTATTACATGATGGCTTCTTCTAAAAGAAAATGTTATTTCCATCTGTCAAATTACGGATATTGTAAGAATTGCCGCATAAAAGAATAACAACAAAGGATTTATTGTTTATAATCATGAACATTAGACATTTTAAAAAGAAATACTATAGGCTTTTTGTAAAGCAATGAATATATTTCAATAAGAAACATTCATATGGGGTGATATTTTATCATAGCATATAATGATACCATTAGTCCCCTTGCCGACCACTATAGGCTTTTTAGACAGTAATTATTTTGATTGGCAAAATATTATTTTTGGTGCATATATTTTGAAACATAAAAGAAAGCTTGAAATTTATATATGCTGATAATTAAAATTACATGTAGGTAAGGGTTGGTTATTTTTAGCTGAAATAATAAGAGGATATTTTTTCGTTTGTGTGAAATATGGTATATATTTTCACGCAAACATGATAAAATGCCACATATTTTCACGAGCCGGTGTGGCGAGTGAAAATATGTGGCATTTTATCATGTTGAGTGAAAATATATACCATATTTCACAAAAAAGAAAAAATAACCTTTTTATTTAATTTCATTATCAAAGAAAATGGTAACGAATCCCCTTGCTTGCTACCAACTGCAATTGTACAGCGCGCAGTAGTTTATGCGTAAGCACGCGCTGTTTGGCGCTACATCGTGATGTCATGTTAACAACTCTTTAAACGTCTGTACAGCGTTAATTACAAAACGGCAAAAGAAGTCCCTTAAAATAAATATGAGTTTTGACCCCGCCCACTTTCATATTTATATTTCATATTTATTTTTAAAAAATATGAAATATATTTGACTGATATAGCACCATATTTCATGGGTAAAGTTCAATAAATCGCCATATATTTTCTAAACTGTGAAAAAAATGAAAATTTGATTCTGATCATATGGTTAAATATTTTTGGTAATCATATTAGAGTGTACATAAAAGTTTCAAGAAAATAATGCAAACTTTGTTAGTAGATTTGTGATTTGACAGTCTGGCTGTAAAACTTGTAATTTATGTGAGTGTCAGGAGTTACTAATGTTGTGTACAAAGCCCTTGAAACTTTTAGCAATACAGAAGTGTTAAATTTGCAAAGGCATCACTTGCGTTAGAATTTGTTGGTTTAGAACTTGTAATGTGTCCCAAGAGTATGCTGATAAATTTTCTTGAAATTACAAAAAA